AGTTAAAGGTAAAATGTTTAACATATGGCCAGAATTTTTGTATAAAACATTGATCTAACATGATCAACAGAATGGGAAGTAACAGTTCTGACCTTATGTCAAAACACGGGACGCCCGCTAATCCAGAAAGACATAAAAAGCTTAATTTATGAGGTTATAAAGATAAGCTCTAACATTACATGTAATGCAAGACCAGAGGAGCAGAATTGCTTAGAGAGTAGCCAGGCTGTAGACAGTAAGTGAAATGCTGCCTCCAGGCCCGGACCGGTTGGCTCATTGCAGAGGATGCGAGGATAAGGCCCTATAAGGTGGGCACTGTTTTACACTTTTATTGTTATGTTATGAATAATGGCATAGAGAAAGGGTGACGAGGCTTATTACTGTCAGATCACTGTCACACACTTTTTAATGGACTTAAGGAACTGACAAAGTACACAGAGTACATGCATACATGGTTACCAAATAATTTGCATTTATGTATACATGGCTTATACAGATCAATAATGAGATCACTTCCTGAAGGGTTAGAGTCAGCACATAGATTTACAACGCTCACATATTAATCACATGTCTGCTATAATAAAATCCTATGGCTGGTCTGTTTGCTTTCACATTGCAAGTGAGCCGCACCAGAGTGTGCGGTTCTGTTGAGTTGGTTTGGTCCACACCAGCATTCGATTGACTTGACTTGCTTTCATATCAGCGCAAACGAAACGCACTAACCAGGCAAATGCACCAGGGTTTGTTTTAAGCAGACCAAACAGGTTGGGTGGCCCACTTCTCATTCTCCAGTCCTTCTTGTCCCTTCATCACTGGTCAACACTGTCCAGGGAAAAAGAAAGAGGGAATTCTGTACTCAAAAGACTAACTTTGGAAGATTTTATTTGATTGACTCAGACTGCTGAAGCCTCATATTAACTTCAGATAAACTTTGGAACACAGTTTTGGACTGTGAATTTTGTCCCCCATCTCTTTATTGCCAGAATGTTCATATACATGAGAGTATTGATTTAAGACTGGCTGAAAATGTGAACCTATCCTTAAAGGTCATCTTTACTTTTTAGAGATAGCTTGGTACAAATAGAGGTGATGGTGTTCTAACAACTGGTGTCCACCTTCTTGAAGGGCCAAATTAACCCGTGAGGGGGCTCTGAGGAAAGTGCTGTTGGTGTAAACTGACTTACACGTAAGGACACAGCACGAGGAGAGGTGAAGAAATGTGAAACATCACATGTTGTGTGAACAGATTTCCGGAAAAGGACACAAAGGACACAAAGACACCTGAACTTCCAGTGAGTCCCTCTGGAGGTGTCATGAACCCAAATGAATGAAACATCTGTGATGGGACAACATCAACAATCCTGTTCTAATCCAGGGAAAAGTCATCCATGACCAACATTAAGTTAAATGCCACAAGGGAAAATTGGCTCACATAATTTCATCTGTTTGTTTATTTAAACCTCTAATTAGCAAGGTAAAGTATCCTTACTTCCCGCGACCCTGTATGCAGGATAAGCGGTTGATGATGGATGGATGGATGGAAGTATCCTTATTTGACAACACTATACTGTACAACCACAAAAGCTGTAGCAATTAATTCCCAGAGAGAGTGAGAATTAATCGGATGCTCTGTGAAATGTCTTCCAAGTGTGTATCATTTAATAGACATTTCACTATTTGACTTTTGTGCTTTCTCACTGGTACCTAAATAGTTCATTCATATTTTCCACACACACATGTTCTCAGTTTGTCTGAGTAATCAGCATTAGGTCCAAACTGCATCATAAAAAGCTAGAGGCTAAGATTGATGTTGTTTATTTCTTTCACCTGGTGTTTCTAGACAAGTGCTGCAACATAAATGAAAGAACTTGGGGCAACAAATGAAACAGGTAAGGTTGCAATGGTCATTTTTAGAAGAAATAAAAAGATAATTCACTTAAAGTAGTCATATTATGCTCATTTTCAGGTTCATCAGTTTATTCAGGGGTTGTTCCAGAATAGGGTTACATGGTTTCATTTTCAACCTTATATTATTGGCAGACTGCACATTGCTGCAGCACCTCTTTTCACCCTGTGTGTTGAAAGCTCCAATTTAGCTACCGAGTGAAGCATCTCACTTCTATTTAATCTTTTTTGGGAGTTGCACATGCAAAGCACCTAGTTAAGGACTGCAGGCCAGTCAGAAGCAGAGTAGGGCGGGTCCCAACAAACCAGTAACCACGGCTTCGGTTCAGCTGTACGTGTTCAGTTTCAGAGTGGTAAGTTTTTAATTTGTAACAAATGTATACCGTTCACTGTCTCTACATCACAGTAACAACTTTATGTCCATTGACATATGGAGGGTGTGGGTGAGGGGAGGCAGTTCAGTTTGTTTTTGCACCAGTGTTTTTGAGGGCTTACTGCACAAGCCACATAGCATTATGGTGTGTGTTACATAGTGACGCAAATAGGTTACAAAGTTAAATGCTGGACTACAATCGAGCTGTTTGAAAAAGTCAAAAAGCATAATATGACCCCTTTAAAGGCAAATCACATGATACATACTGGCCATTAATAACAATTTATTACAAAAGCAAATATGAATACAGTTAAATAAATTATTTGTGCTAATAAGTGTAAGAAAATGTCTAGTAATTTACAGAAATACTATGATTAAATCATTAAAAAAATGAATATGAATAAAACATATTAAAATACCAACACATAACAAATGCACATGTACTTTCTTAAAGATGTCTTCATCCTCTTAAACAGGCCATGCTTTTTCCAGAGCAACTTACTTATTTTTATCTACAAGTGAAAAGTAGCAGCACCACGGGGTTTTCTTTCTGCCAGTCTCTCAAAAGTTTGATGCGGGAGTCTGCTTTTTATTTTTGTTTTCTCAATGCTTCATCTGTATGTATGCCATTCTGTGTTGACAGTCTGAAACAAAGATTTCAAAAAGGCTGCATGCTCCATAGTCTATGTGCACACTCGGTTCTCATGTCACATAGGTTGTGCATGTGACACGGTCCAGCTAAATGTGTCAGGGCTGTTTATTAACATTATACAAAACTACATAAAATGCTTGGAAGTGATGCGGCCACCCACATTTTGTATTTATATAATTTTATTATCTGTATTTTTCTTAAAGGAATCGATGCCAAATGAGCAACAACAGGAACTCTCCATAGTAACATTATCAGTTATAACCACCTGGGAGCCATGTTGGCCTCTTTCTACCCTTATCTATTTTATGTTCTTCCCATGAGCCCAGCCCCTAATATGTTCACCCCCTCACTCTTAATTTGTCTCCTTTTTCCTGCAGTAAACCACAAAATGAACACTGGTGAACTGAGGCGTTGCAGCTGCATGCACCCAGAGCTCTAACATGCACTCAACAGCCCGGGAGACCATTTTTTACTCAAGTGCCCAAAAAGGGAGTTACAGAATGGAACCTGCCCCTCTCTCGCCTCCTTCTTTGCATCCTAATTTCCTTGTCCTGTTGTGTGCCTGCATGTCAGGAGGGGCTCTGCGTCAAATCCACCATTGCAACAGCTGTTCCAGCAACCTCTATGTGCATGCACACACTCCAACACATGCAAGCACACACAGTGGACTCCCACAGAAGCAGGAAAGCATAAACCAAAGGCTCAAGATGCCCACTGATTTTGGCCATTACGCAAAGCTGCCCGGGCCACATGCCATATCAGAGATCATGCACTGCAGCACTCTTAAGGCCATTATGCGGAATATACTCCATGTTGCATTACCAGACTGGATGCATACACAGTCATGCACACACACACACAACACACACACAAGACACACACACACACACACACACACACAGCATGAGTATTTTGGGGTTAGTGGGCTATTTGGCTCTAATCCAATCACCAGATTCCTAAATTCAATTCTGGTGTCTGAGGGGGGAAATTAGCCCTGGTTTAGGGGGAAATAAATATATCAACTCCTGCACACCTCTGCTCAACCTCAGCTCCAGAAGAAAACATTCACAGTTATTTAATACACATGTTGTGTTAAACTTAACAGGCAAATGTAACATTACATGATGATGATCAATTTATTTGCATTTACCCCAAAAGACATTTGGGAAAGTTTAGGACCGCATAAGGCACTGGAGAGAGCCTCTGTGAGCACAGAGGCCGTTCAGTCTCTCCAACTCATGCGCACTCAGGCTATAGTTCATATGCATACACAAACAAATGTGCACGCATGCACAGGAACTTCGCAGGGAGGGAAAGAAGGATTCAACGCATAGTCCGGCTTTGTGTTGCGAGTGTGCAACTGAGTGTGATCAGCTTTCACTTCCACTAACATCGAGCTGAGGCACAATTAGCGCGTCGTTAATCCAAAGATACAAGCTGAACCGCATCTGAACCGTTCCAATGGCATTCTGCCAGTCCCGCTCCCTCCAACACGTCACACACGCCTTTGAAAAGAGCAAGATTCCCGAGTGCATGTGAAAACAGCAGGAGTCTCTAACGTTTGTCTGGTAAGCGAGCTTTGGAAAGACCCAACCCTCTGTTACCTGTGTGCACACACCGAGAGACGTGTTGAAGAAGTGTTTGTCCACACTGGTTTACCTTCAGGCAGCGCGCGGCGCCTTGCGTCTGACATTCTACTTCAACTGCCAAAGCTAAAGGGAGAAATAAGTCCCTGATCATTTCATGCAACCCTTCTGTTATACAAAAAGTAAATATTTAATCTAGAGCGCTCAAAACCAATTTAGAGCCTCTGTGGTGCCAAATTCAGTTTCCCAAACTTTGTTTTTACAGCTATTCATGCAAGTTCTAACTCCAGCAGTTCCAAAGCTGTTTATCACAAGATTTGGTGCATTTAAAGTAGGCTACAAAGTCTTTGGCTTCTATTGAACATATTGAACTCTTAGGTCAGTTTCTGTCACTCCTTTCGTGTCACATTCCCCAAGAAGAGTTATTCAGCAACAAAAATGTTCCATGAAGCATCAGGTCAAAAATGAATAAAGCAGTTCCTACCGTAATAAAGGTAACCATAGCATCGGCAGGTTAGTATCCAACAGAGTCGACATGAAGGTGATTAATTTTTAGACAGAATCCTTTGGCGAAAACTTCCCACTTCTAAGGGCTGCCGCCGGTCTGTGCGCCACACTGGTTCTGTGTGGAGAGGATCAGGGTGTGCGTAAGGCTCTCTCTCTCTCTCTCTCGCTCTCTCTCTCTCTCTCTCTCTCTCTCTTCCCTTCCCTTCCCCAACATAATCTACGCCGCTCTTTCTGTTACGGGACAGATGGCTCTTGGCGCATGTTGCCGCAAAGACCTGCATGCATGCTGCCACTGTCTGTCAGCGGCGCAAGCCTGGTGACATGAATTAGGACACCGTATTAAGAGCGCGCGCGTGTGTGTGTGAGTGTGTGTGTGTGCATGCGACTGCGTGTGTGTGCATATGTGTGTGCGTGACTAATGCGCAACCTTTAGGACTTCATAGGCTGGCTGACATTTAGCAGGTTTACCAAGACTCAAAGTTTCAAGTCAAATATAGGGCTATAATCTTTTAAGAATGAAAACCTTAATGAACGATGGTAGCAACAAAATACAAAATAAACAATTTGTTTTATGGGATTATGGACATTAATAGGTTTATACTCACCATTGATCAATTTATCCTCTATATTAAGGATATCATAGGAGCATACAACAAAAGCTATATTACATACATTAAAGTTCCTGTAAAGCACAGGCAGAGTTAAAGGCATAGTAACCTTAAAAAGGGAGACAAAAAGTTGAATGTTTTAATGTCTTAGTGTCCACTTTGTGGACATGACCTATAATTGTATGCCTCTATGCCAATTCACACTCCTTCCAGGGAATATGAGGGGATTTATAAACAAACACTCAAAAAATGTGTAATGTTTCTGACTGGTAACTTTCGGGAATTTCGTAACTGAATAGACTTTCACAATCACACAAAATGGCAGACTTTTGACACTGGTGAGCGCTGTTTGCATACTATTCTATTATTCTTCACCCTCCATCTCTTGTTGGTAAAGCTATGAATGCTCTCTCATCGGCCAGTGTACACAGGCAAGACCTGGCCAAACCTTGCTGAAACTTGGACAGGTGGGCGGTGGACTTATTAAACTGTGGCATAAGTAAAAGGTAAAGTGTCTGGCAGGCACAGCCTCCTGTCAGGGTGTGTACTAAAAGCCCTGCCAATCAAATAGTTGTGGTTGGATTAAGCTCTGTTTATGGAGATTAGGTTTAGTACCATTATGGGGTTTGAGCCAGCCAAACTACAACCATAAAGGCAGATTTGTATGGAGTCTGACAGAAGGTCTGCCTGAAAGACAAGACAGTCTCCCTCTACAGCCAAATTCTCAAAATATGGAGTTTTGACCACCACAGAAACGTTAATGAGGGGATCTCTGTGTTGTTTGTATCTCGAGGTTTACACATTTGCTCACATGGTTATTGCACTGATCAACAGTTGAAACTTAATAATTTATGACTGATAGAATACAATAGTTGTCCAACAAATACCAAGTTCATTAAAACCTTTTATATTGGTCATTCTTAACACTTAGGAGATTTGACTATATTTACTAATGGGCTGCTATGAGGTTTAGCGCCAGTGAAATAGAAGAAAAGTGGTACCACAGAAAATTGCATGTTGGAGCTCGTGCAATATGTATTTTAGGGCATTCCTGTTCAGAGGTGCAAAATAAGGAACAAAAAAAAAATGGAAATGTACACATATAGCTGCAGCACTTTACAAGAGCTCTCAGTCCAGCACCACAACACAAGACAAACAAAAAGCAGTGCAAAACCAGTTTTTTTAACACAACTTTGCCTTTCTGCCTCCTGCTTATATTTCCTAACCTGGAAAACCATGTCACAGAAAGACCATATGGTGCACTCACACTCTACCAGCTACATTACAACTCGGTGAAATATTATGAATTAAATTATGACGTTATGTCTCATCATATTACATTACATTACATATTTTTTTCTCAACATGTCAGAGAACACAGAGATGTGGGATAGATTTTAAATTTGCAGAAGTTTTGAAACTCAGGAACTATTAAAGTCCAGGAGTTTATAAATATTAAAGAACTAATATATCTTTGAACTGGAAAGGTGTGACAAACCAAAAAACATCCTGAAAACAATATTGTTGCTGGCAACAAGTTTATGTGGACTCATGTGGTTATACCTGAAGAATTGTGCAAAAACACGAGGCTGGTTTTTTACATGGGTGTCCTCGATCTGCCAAAAGTCAGTGACATGTGGCGTGTAAAAGTATATTCCACATCAGCGTTTTATCACAAGTTAATGTCCAGAGGTAATGTTCCTCATTATAACTTGCAATGAATGACGGAAAGAAAGGCATGGACGATTACGACAGGCTGCACAGGCTCCGCCCCCTCTACACATCATTCTGCAAACTGCTTGCAAGGCTGTCTACCACCCTCATCAGAACCTGGCTGTGGATGAGCGTATGGTGGCCACCAAAGCTGAAATTGGACTGGGATCCGATTACCACATTTATTGTGGTAACTTTTCCTCCAGCCTGGCACTCTCCAACACCTCTGCGACCTTTGCTTAAGAGCCTGTGGGACCTATAGGGAGGGCAGAGTGGGATGGACTAAAGAGAGGTGTCTGTGTGCTGCACGGTGCACATTGCATACTCAGCGGAGACAATGATGAGAGGGACGAAAACCAGCGATGGCTTTCAGAGGGTGGCAGTTTCAAAACCTACCGCTGTGGGGGAGTACAAGTACTTCATGGGCTCCATTTGAAGCACCTAAAGTACCTAATGACCAACCACTGATCCCCATTGTTTGTTTAGGGAACACCTACTTTGAGTATGTTCTAAATGATTTAGCTTGACATTTTAATTTTTTTAATTAATTTTTCTTTCTCAAAATACACAACAGGTAATTTAAGTTCAGTGTCAGAACTTCCGGGCAACAGTCATGACACATCAACATGGCAGAATCTTTAAAAAAAACTGAGCTTTTGTAGCATACCAGAGGGTTCCAATTAAAAAAACACAATCGGATCTGTCCTTTAATGCGTTTCCTAAGGACCTACACATTATAGGACGATGGACTGAGTTGCAGTGTGCAGGTGACACTTCTCTCCACAGGATTACGTTGAACCAGTCAACTCAAACATGGAATGGCCCTTAGTAGTTTTTCAAAGAACATAAGTATGGACGGTAAGCGGTTTTGCATTTTACATTTCATGAAGAAACACAGGGTAGTAAAAAAATTGTATGTTTGAAACAAAAGGTCACTTGCCCATTTGTCATAACTTTAACAGTTACCCAGTTTACTTTCATGCCTGTATGGGTTAGGGTTACCGCAGTGACACCAACACAGCTGGATTTTTATAAAACAACAAAGTTCAACCACAGCCAATGGTAAAACTCATGGTAAAATTCATACTTGTTTAACCTATAAGGCTTATGTTGTGAAATATATTTCTTTGCATCTCCTGAACAAGAAGCAAAATGTGAATTTTATAAACAGATCCTGTTAGAGCTGAAGCATAGACATATCTGCACTGCATGCTGTTTTCACTTACCTCACCTCAGTATGTTACAAAGTGAGGAATATGCTGTATATTTTTTTGTTCCCTCTATGACTAAGCATTAGTCATACATCATAAGAGGTCCCTTAATACCAGACTTTCGTTCAGCATCATCACTGTAAAGGAGGTGTTAAATTTTTAATGCCCACAATGGTAACGCACATCTCCAGCCGCTCCCTCGGGCTCTCCACGTGACATGGCCACTGTGTAATTATTATCCTGGACCGCACTGAAATCATCAAATATGAAAGGAGCAAGGGAGATGGGGAAAGTTTTAGATGAGAAGGGGGGTGAAGAGGCAGAGGAAGAAAAAATAAAAGGAGTCAAGAGTATGAGTTATGCGAACCAAGAGTTGAGAGGAGAGAAGATGATTGTGTAGAAGGAGGAAAGTCAGACTGTGAGAAAAGAGAGGAGAGAACAGATTAAAGTGGGACAGAGTGAAAAGGAAATTTAAGATAACTTCAGAAATGTCCTTCTGAATTGATTGTATTAGAGCCCTAAATGATGTTTATATGAATTGAACAAAGTGTCCACTTTTGGATCTGGATCTTAGCAGCTTGCAACATACTACAAACATTCCATGCATAAAGTAGGGAGCTGCAGCCACAAATAGGCAGACCTCCACATAGCCAGCACTGGAGAAGGGTCTAGCTGAACCCTTTATCATTCTGGTATAGGGGAAAAAATGCTGTGGGTTGTTTGAACCAAGCACAATCATCTGCAGCAATGATGCCCTTGCAAAACAGTAATAAGCACATAGCGGCAGGGGAGAAGAAATTTTCTTCAGTCAGCCAATAGCAGGCTTAGACCCACAGCCTTCTTCCTGTGAGTCAGACTAGGCTAAGACTAGCTTAGCATAAAGACAGGCAGGGGAAACGGCTCCTGGCTGGTGAACATAGTGGAAAATTTATCAGTAAATCAGAGTTAAAGAGGGGGAATATTGACATATATTCACCAGGTGGCCAGAAACATAACCTCAAATGAATGCCATATGTTTCACTGTACCTGCTGGATTTGTTTGCTTACACACTCACCCTATCAATTTTATAAGGTAATAATGTGTCAATGTTGTGTTTAAAGTTGTGGCCACAAAACAGTTAATAAAAGTATAGCCAAACTCACAATTTAAGTTCTAATTAACATATTTTTCTGTTTGTAGAAGAAGGTCGTGGGTTCAAACCCCGGTTGCCCCGGCCTTTCTCTGTGGAGTTTGCATGTTCTCCCCGTGTCTGCGTGGGTTCTCTCCGGGCGCTCCGGCTCCCACCATCCAAATACACGCAGGCTAATGAATGTGAGTGTGAGTGGTTGTTTGTCTATGTGTGGCCCTGCGATGGAGTGGCGACCTACAGTTTTATGACTGTTTTATTTTCCTGCCCTTATGAAGCACTTTGTAACATGGATTTGTGCTCTATAAATAAAGATTATTATTATTATTGTTATTATACACACCCAATTGTGGTGCATTTTTGATTGACAGTGAAATCACTGAATATGATAAACTGACTTCCCGTGGGAATTACGGTCCTAGTCTCCTCATTACGCTGTTCCCTCTTTCGTTTTGTGTTGTGTCCTTTATTTTTTGTTTTGTCTGTACTT